CCACTCCCTGTCCCCGCTACCCCGCCTCTTGTTTTCCTTTTGCCACTTTCTGTTACTTTACCTTCTAGAGAGACATCTGCGGTTCGTGATAAACCAACCCCAGGAGCAACACCTATTTTTTTTCTTTCTTTTTCTTTTCTTCTTCTTTTTTTTTTAAATTTTTTTTTTTTAAGTTGATTTTAGCAAACTGGGAAGTTCGCAGACAAAGAGGGGTAGTGCTGGAGGAAAAGGAGGGAGAGGGTGTTTTTGCAGGATGAAAAAGGGAGAAACTGAGAAATGTTTTTTTGGTTGTTGTTGGGGGGGGTGAGAGGAGAAGGGTTTAGTGCGAAGCCTCTGGAAAAACGGTTGCCGTTTGTGGTTAGGGTGCGGATGCCTCTTGCTCGAACGCAAGGCTGGGGCAGCGGGGAGCTAGGTCTCTGCTGAGATAGCTCTGCTCTGGCCAGCTGAGGTCTTCTGCTGCTCTCAGATGGGCTTGAAATGTCATTAGATGCAAGAAAATAACCTTAAAACCCAATAAACCAGATATCCAACAAACACCACTCAACCTTCTGGGAGCTTGCCTGCATCCCCCTAGTTCCTTCCTCCAAGCTGGGAGACGGTGCGCTTGGGGACCCCAGTAGCCGGGGAGAGGATAGAGAGGTGCCAAAAATAAGAATAATAAGAAGAGAAAGACCTCAATCAGGGCTCAGGCAGGCTTGGGGCTGTTTGGGATCCCAAATTCCAGGGATGGATCATCAGGCTGCAGATGCAATGGGGAAGCCAGAGAGTTTTCCGCAGGTTGGGTGATGGAAGTTTAGTTGCAAATTAATTGATAGCAGATGTTGACAGAGTGGTTGTGTGTTGGCTGGGGCTGAGGAGGTGTTTTGGTTGTTGATATGTGATTATTTTGGGGGTCCTTGATGTGGTTTGACCTGAGGCCAAAAGAAGAGCCCCCTCCCAGGCCCATACACCCCCTAGGAGCTGGGGCAGTGCTCCAGGAGTGACCATGAGGTCCCCATACACATCAGAAAGCGGGGCATGGGCTTAAATTTGGTATCCATCCGTCCTGGGGGGTTGGAGGCTCCAGCAAAGCCTGCCAAGGTTTATCTGGTCCATGCGGCAGCATGGGTGTCTGGTGGGCTGTAGGAGCCCTTAATCCAGAGTGGAGGGAACTGCCAGCCCCCATGCAAAAAAGGGGCCTGTGGAGGGGTGAGAGCTTCTCCATGGAGCCCCTCAAGCTGCTGTGGGGTTTGGGTTGTCATCATCACTGTCCCTCCTCCTCGCTGCTGCTGGGACACAGGCTTGCTGCTGCCTGCAGGATGGTGTTGGGGAGGGGGACAGGATCAGACCCCCACCAGACTGTCCTAAGCCCATGCCAGGCATGTGGCTCAGCCATGCCCTTGCGCCCTTGCTTGAACATCCTGAGCGTGGAGTGCACAGGCAGGGTCTGGCATGGCTGGGTCTCTTGGGGGGCTGGTTTTTGGGTTTTTTTTGAGGGGTGTTTCTGCAGACCCTTTTACCTCCACTTTCCCAAAGTGAACTATGTGCTCTCTTGTTTCCAGAAGGCAGGGAGTGTGTAAATTGTGGGGCTACCTCAACCCCTTTGTGGAGAAGAGACGGCACCGGGCACTACTTGTGTAACGCCTGTGGACTCTATCACAAAATGAACGGGCAGAACCGGCCCCTGATCAAACCCAAGAGAAGGCTGGTGAGTCTCTTTCTTTTTTATTCCTTCTTTTCCTCCTTCTGTGACTTTCATTCCTTGTTCACAGCCAGGGATGGAGAGGCAAAGCTCAGCCAGCTCCAAAATCTGATCGCACTGTGTCAGAGGGCTGGGAGACGGGGATGCTCGGAGAGATGCTCCCAGCTGCTGTGGGCCTCAGTTGTCTGGTCCTCTTACAAACCAAAAAACAGGTTAAAAATATAAAGAACCAGGGCTTCTTGCAAACCAGAACTGAATTTTCTCCCAGGTTGCAATGGGGCAGATGCTTCTGAATGGTGACCCAAGGATGATGGCCCTTTCCAGGTGACAAGGGCAGAGTAATAATTTCCTAGTGATCAAAGAGTTTATCAGGAAAACAGGATTTCTCCTGGGCTCTCCACACGGCTGTCCTCCCCTTCCCAAATGTGTCTTCACTGCCCTTGGCTGGTGGTGTCGTGGAGGAGGGACTCAAGTGGACCAGGTGCCACTGGGACATCACCCAAATTTGGCTGATGGGCCTGGTCCCACTTAAACTCAGTGTGGTCATTTGTACCTGAGCCATGTGGGTCTCAAATTGTGTCATTCCTGCCAGGTGGGCAGCTCTCTGATTTGGTGTGAGGGAGGACACAAGGTAGGGGATGGCAAAGCAGGAGCAAGCCTGGTGAGTGTCCAAAGCTGAGCGTGTGCCTGGGGCCACAGAGGTCAGAGGAACATGAAATGTGCTGGTAAATATTTGAAATAACAGTTGCAAGCGTTGTGACTGTACTATGTACAGGCAATACGTTACAGCATCCCCAGCGACCTATTTATCAATTTCTTTGGGAGCCACAAAAAGGTCTGGAAGCTGTGGGCATGGCTAATAAATGTGTTGAAGTATATTTGGCAAATAATCAGGCAAACCACAAGGGGGAAAAAATATATCAAGTGGGGGGAAAAAATATATGTTCCCTGCTTGGGAAGTTATTGAATGTTTCGAATTGAGGCGTGTTTGGTTTTGTTAGGATTAAAGACATGGAGGGACTCCTGGGGGCTGCTCAAAATGTGTAGGAAAAGCGGCTCTGGCCTCTCCATGGATTTTTGGAGCTGATGGATGGATCCAGATGGTTGAGTGAGGCTTGTGCTTGTCATGGCCGGACCCTGCAGGCAGACAGGGGTGGTCCACTGGCCTCGTGTCTGCAAAATTGGACCGGTGTTATTCCCAGGGGCGTTGGGAAGTGTTTGCAGGGTGCGGCCCCAGGAGGGTTGCGCTGTGAGGGGCAGCGGTGTTGGCGATGTCTGACTGTGCGGGTTCTGGGGAAGATGCGGGTTTGCTTCTCTAACCCCAAACTTCCCGTGGGTAAAACCTCTCCATGCCTTCCTATATGGGCTCTTCCGGTATAGGAAAATGTTGTTCTCCCTTGTCTTTCATAGCCTTGCTAGAAAAAAGGAAAAGCTTTCTAGGGAGGGAAGTACCGGCTGGGATTCTTAGTTTTTTTGGGGCAGCTCTTGTTCTCTTCTCTTCCTCCCCTTGGCCCTTCTGTCTTAAACACACACACCTCATTTTCTTTTTTTTTTTTTTCCCCTCCTCGTTCTCTCTTTATGTGCAAAGTTAACTTCCTAGGAAAAAGCTGCCGGATATCTGAGCCCTGGAGATAACTCCTAAACAACAGCTCTGTTTCCCCAGCCCAAACACACAGGAGCTTGAGCGTATCCAAACAAGCGGAGGGGGAGGCAGGATAGGAAAGCGGCTGGAAAGGGGGGCAGAGCTTTCAAAAAGTGTCTGATGGAACCACGAAAGAATGTCCCGAGTCACCCTCGGCCTGGCACATGTAAAATGAACTATATAAATAAATACATTGTAAAAGGTCATTCTCGGGGGAAAAAAAAAAGAGAGAAAGGAAAAATGTAGAGAGAGACCTTGTCTTGCATAATTACTCCAATCTTGGGTGTTTTAGTTATAGTTAAAGTTACAGAAAGTTCCCATTCTTTGAATATGGCCTCTCCTAAATGGGAAATTTTGATTTTTAATTTTTTTCCTCTACTTTTTTCCCCCCCCGGCACTGCCTGGAGAAAAAAAGGAGAAACATTTCTAGTGATGTTTACATCTATATTTATTTCCCCTACTAACTTCCAGAAAAAAAACCAACAACAAAACACTAAACACTAAAACTGGACCCACATTTGCATTTCATGTGCATGGATGTGGCTTGATTTGATCTTTCCTGACTCGAGAAGGCAAGAGGGCTGGGGAAGGTGGCGTGGGTATGGAGGCTCAGGATGGGGATCAAAAATGTACTCCTCTACCTCTGCCACACTTTTCCTGTGTGACCTTGGGCTGGTTTTGTAGGCTCTGATTCCCAGGTGCGCTGAAACTAATGGAAGGACTCTGATGGGTAGAAGAGAGAAGGCAAACAAATCCTTAGATGCTGAGAACTCAGCCCAAGCTTTGTTAAATTCAATGGGCGTCTCTGTAAGGTCTTTCTTTAGGGGAGATGGATGGAGCTTTGCTGATCGAGGGTGCCCAAGCAGGTCTGCTTTGAAGGGAAGGTGGAAGATCTGGAGGTGTTGTCCGGGCATCAGGAACGGGCAGGTGACACCATGCCACCACTTCGCTTAAAAGGTCTACAACCCTCTTAGAGACCATTCCTGTCTCCATTGAAGCCAGCGGCAGCCTTGTCACTGATGCTGCTGAAATAAAACCGGCATGAATTTGGATTTTCTTCCTTCCCCTGCCCATGTGGATGCAGAGCTCTCTGTTTCCGTGTCCAGCCATGCTGGTTTTGGAAGGATTACAGTCAATTTCTCAGAAGGTCCGTGTATGTTCAGTCTTTTTTTAGGAACCTGATGCTTGCAGCTTTCTGAGTCCCCCGTGTAAACCCAGACAATGAAAATGCCTCTTAATGAAGCATCTTTATCAGTGCTTGGTTCCTCCTGCACCATCTTCAATTCCACCTTCTCATCAGTGCCAGCGCTTCTGAAGTTGTGCCCTTGCTCACGTGCAACTGGGCCATGGGGTCTGGTTCTGTAGGTGATATGGGGCACCCCCTAAGTCATCCCATTACTTCCGTGGTCAGGCTAGAGTCGGTGGTTAGCGTCAGTGGATGCCATTACTGTGAGCTTTTACAATAGTGATATTATTAATTGTTTCCTGCTTGCTGCCCGTGTCTGCGGTATAAGTTGGTACAACATAAGAGGTATGGTCTGGGACGGAAAGAGCACAGAGTTTAAAATATTCAGCTAATGACATTGACTTTTTGTAGGGGAAACACGGCAGATGGAAGAGGCTTTAGAGAAGACAGTGGATGTTGTGATTTATTTGCTTATTTAATGTCAGAATTAGTTTGAAGGTAGCAAGGTGGTAACCAGGCGTGTCTTTTAAACGCACTTGCCGTAAGAGAAATTACAGCGAGTGCCGTATAGAAACCCCAAATATCTTCAAAGGGGATGTTTCCCCTGTGTGGGCTGAGTCAAATATCACTGGTTTTTAGAAATTTCCTTAGACTTGATTTTTTGGGTCTGATAAGGGCAAAGCTGCCACTGGGAGACTCAATCCAACCCCTGGGCCACTCATGCCAGCCGGTGGGAGCCGGTGGGGCAGAGACCTGCAGGCTTGGCCCTCGGGTGTCAGCAAGAGCCCGGCTTTGCAAGATGTCGTGTCCTTGCTGTGTTTGAAGCACGTGTATTAACCTGGTGATTTCGATGGGAATCAAATTTGGGGCTGTGGTGTGGTCCAGAGGACAGGGCCGAGGTGTGTGCGCGCACATCAGTTGGGGACTCTGCCATTTGTGGTGGGATGGTTCAGCTTCTCCTGCTGGCACTGGAAATTTTGCAACCAAAGACCTGTGAGCCATTCCCAGCTCCTGTTTGTCATCTAAAGTCAGCTGAAGGCCTCCCTGGGCTTGAGATTGACTCGTTTTAGCATGGTTTATGGTCAGGCAAAACGGAACTGTCCCCACGGGCAGCCAGTGACAGTCCCTTGCTGTCAGATCAAGCACTCTGTGACGTTTCCTAATGCTTGTGGACATTGTACTATTTATTTTTTTTAGACGGCCCTTTTTGTCTAATTAAAAGAAAAAAAAAAAATCCTACTCTATCTAAAACAAAACCAACCCGTCCTCTCTCCACCTACGCCGCATTCATTTATGATTAAAATTGCAACATGACCTAACAAGAGTTGGTATTAACGCTAGCACTGTGCCAGTGTCCAAGTGAGCATTTTGAGTTTGTTGTACGGTATCCAAAGATGCGGTATTTTTTATTTTTTTATTTTTTTAAATGTTGGATGTGCTACAGTGTGCGGCTGTGTGGGGTGAGGGGTAAATTTGAAACAGTAAGAGCACAAAAGAGAGCATTAAAGGCTCAGTTCTGCAAGGTGCCAAGCATTGCTATGATCTGGCAAATCGCTTAAGCACATGTTTTAACTTTAAGCACATGAGCAGTCCCATTGAAAGCAATGCATCGGGATGAAATCAGAGCTCTGGGACTGTGTCATATTGATGAAGAAGAGATAGGACGGGGATCTAAAAGTCTTTTTTTAGGAGCTGTAGGTACTTGCACACATGCAAACACGCATATGCATTCCCACACAAGTCTGCAAACTTCTTTTCCTTCTTCAGTGGCAGAAGAACAATTTGTCTGCTAAAGTTGCAGTTTTAAAATGTTAAGCATGAATTCATGCATGTGAAACAGGAGCGACTTTGCTAAATTTGGCTTTGCTAAATCATTATCACAGCCAACAAAAAAGCTTCTGTATACACCTTGACACATAGACGTTTTTTCTTGTCCCTCCCCCTTTATGAAATGGTAAATTCTTCTTTTAGGCTCATTACCAATCCCTAAATAAACATTAAGGTTTAAGCTGCAGAAGGGCATAATTAAAAAGTTGGGATTCTTGCTCTTCGCCACAGTCTCATTTCCGATCTGGAGCCTGTATCCTTTGAAGCTGAGCTGAATTTACAGGACCGGGCCGTGCTTGTGGTTGGATCCGGCAAGCAGCTGCCCACCATACTCAGTGCGGGTCTCACCCGGCACTCGCTGGAGCCGGTGTGACTCATGCCATTGACTCTGGCAATTGTTAGTTCAGGCCCTGACTGCAGAATTAGACCCCTGGGGGGTCTGAGAGAATTAAGATGGAAAGACATGTTGGCATTTAAATAATATTTTCCCCTCTGGAATGGGCTGCGCCAGCGCTGCTAATTTTGATGAGTTCTATCAGAGGTTTAGCACTCACTTTTAGGATGCCCTTTGGCACCTGAATCAGTTCATATATAATTTGGGATTAAAGTACCTCGGGGATTTTTTCCAGAATTATTATTTGTTCTCACAAGCCAGTTTCTGGACGCCTCTGCCGATGTGCGTCAGTCTTGCAGGGTTGTTGTTTTCTTTCTCAGCAATTTTGCTGATTGCATTTTTTTTTGTCTTTAATTTTTTAACACGGGTGTTTTTCTCTCCTTCCCCTTCTCTTCCCCTGTCTCTCCCCCCTCCTTCCCACAGTCTGCAGCCAGGAGGGCTGGTACGTCCTGTGCAAACTGTCAGACCACCACTACCACCCTGTGGAGGAGAAATGCCAACGGCGATCCCGTCTGTAACGCCTGTGGGCTCTACTACAAGCTACACAATGTAAGTGTGACTGTAACGCTCGATAGTGGAGCCTCAGTTTCGGTGCTCTATGAACCGAACTCTTCCTTGACTTAAGGATTTCTGCTCTCGGGTAGTGCTGAGACCTCCTTTATCCCTTGGGGGATGCTGGGGGTCTGAGCGATGGGGTGACATCCCCTCAAACATGGCTGATTCAACTTGGGGAGGTACAAAACAGAGCTGTACATGGGTAATGTTAGAGCTTTCCCATGCCTGAGCCAAGAAAGGAGGGGTAGATCAACACAGAGAGACATTATCCGCTGCTGATCATGCTCAGTGCATTGGAAAAGACAACACGTCGTCCTGCAAGCCAATACCCCTTCTATGCATAGCTTGGTTCCTCCAGCAAATACAAACTCTGAAAAAGAAAAATCAAAATGTGCCAGCAACTATTTAGATCTTTCTTGGGTTTGTGGCTGCCTTTGTCCCGTCCCTCCACCCGCCCCCAAAGATGATTTATTTAGGTCTTGTGTTTGGCCTGGTTGACGCAAGCAATTCCTAAACCAAAAAGGACTTGATTTAGTTAGCGAGTTGCAGAGTCTGCCCAACCTATGATGTGAATTTTAAAGTGCCTGTCGTGGAAGGGAAGGAAAAATGAAATGAAATGGCTGGCAGATTTAATCTAATATCTCCATGCAAAGCCAGCTTGCAGGAACCAGGGATATGTGCCCCAGGGAATGAGCTAAAGGGATCTGAAAAGTCTTCTACTGAATAATACTGCTAATAAAGAAGTCTTAAGGCTACTCCTGTTACTTTCATTCCACATGTGGCATTAGAATAATTATTATGTCAGAAGAAGGGAAAGACTTTCAAATTCTCTGCTTTGATATAACTTTTCTTTTTTTTTTTTTTCCCCTAGTGGTCGTTTGCATTATGTTTGGCTTAGAAATCTCGGGCTGTGTTTTGCCCTCATGTCCACCCACACAAACACATCAAAGATGGATTGGGTTTCACGGGGCACCCAACCCTTGTGGTGTCTCAGTGCCTTCCATTTGTTATTTCAAGCGCTTTGGTTTCTTGGGATGAGTAAACAAGTTTGGATTAAGCAGAAAAAAAACCTGAACAGGTTAATTTTTCACCTGTTCTGTGAGAGGCATCTCTCGGAGAAAAAAAGAAAAGGTGTTTACCCTTTAGTGGGCAGGCATCTCAGCACGTTTTGAGTGCTATGTAGCAAGCAAAGATTGTCATCAAACTCATAGTGTGATCACTGAAAACAAAGGGCTTGGGCACAGAGAGAAAGCTCTCAGAATATCACAAGAACGTATTCCATTTGCTGTTTCCATGGCAAGAAGGGAGCAAGGTCAGCCAGCTTCACTGGAGAAGTCTATGTTTGTGCTGTGTTTTCATTTCGGCCTTGTAGCCGCCAGCGGTAGGACTTAAATCATGTAGCCTGGGAGATGTACAACGGGGTGATCTATACCTGAGCTGCTCTCCTGTACCCCAGCAAAACCCTTTGAAGAAAACAGGCTCTTCTCAGGTGCCATTCATTGGACCTGATGGAGATGCCTGTGTTTAGATTAGATGGTTTGTATCCTTGAAGGTGATGTAGTTTCTGCCCATGACTACAGAGAGTGGCAGAATGATGAGCTGAGATATGGGTGCCTGCATTGTAGACATCTGACCGGAAGAATCCCCCCTAAGGTGTCTATAATGGAGCCTAGGTGCCAAGGTTCTCCACAAATGTGCCCTGCAAGAGCTCTCGTTCCCTCTCTTCATTTCTTTTTCACACTGACGTTGTGAACCTAGTTGACCTGAATTGACCTCAAGATCAACTGTTTAGGGAAACTCTGATCCAGCTGTGAAATTTGTGACATGGGGCAGGCCTTGAGCACATTGGAACCGTTTTCATATTCATTAAAAACACCGGCAGCTGCCTTAAAGCTCAGCATGGCTACTTACCAAAGTCAAGTAGTATCTTGCCTTATGAGCAACTCCATTAATGGGACCTGCTTAAATGAAACCCCTAAAGGACTCAGATACTGTGTGTAGCGGTATAACCAGGCAAGGATACTAAAATCTGGCTACGAGTGGGTAGATCCTTTTTTATTCTTTTAAACTTTTTTGAGATGATGCTTAGTTATGACTGCAGTGAGAAACAGGCAACCGTCGCAGATGATAGTCCTTGAACACACCATGCTCAGCTTTAAATGTCCATAATAGCAGACCATTGCAGTACTATTCTGCAGCCCAAATGGCTTTAGAGGCTGTGACTGTGAGGGCCACATAGTGTTTCAGAACTCAAATATGAGTGAGTTTTTTGTGACCAGTGGTAAGGCAGTGGTAGCTTCACAGAGATGCCTTCTCTTTTTGGCTGCTGGGAGGCAGGACTTAGGGAGCTGTGCCGAACTGGTGAATGGGACCAGCATCATCCTCTGATCAGCTCAAGGCAGGGAGGAAGTTTGGTGGTTGCATTTGGACTAGGTTTCTTGACTGGTGCAAACTGGTCTGGTCTGTTAAAGTGCAAGATACTTCTGTGTAGACTGTGGTCCTGCTTCCTTTGTGTATCTTGTCTGGATTGGTTCTTCACCAGGAGAGGTGTCAGAAATAGAGGCACATCGTAGCACGTCCCTCCGAAGCAGCTGAGTGTCTGCACAGATGTTGTGTCAATGCCAGCGGAAGGTGGAAAGTGGACTGCTAGGAAAATGCCTTAACCCTGTTTCAAGCTAGATTGTAGCAAATTCCTAGCTGCTTTTTTATTCCCTCTTCCTCCTCCCCATTTTGTCTTTTCTTTGGGTTTGATGAATTCTTCTTGGACCTTCAGATCATTAGGATTGATCTGATGATGAAACTTACCCAGTTTTTAAACCCACACCAGAAGCGATTGAGGTGAAAAGCCTATTTATTTTTGTGGTGCTATTTTTTTCATGGGGCTGTATCGGTTTGTTTGACTGTTGTTTCCCACAGCTTAAGCAAACTCATCTGTCAGTAGGATACAAGCAATAATCATAATAGTCTTGGGGTGCATTTAGTGAAGCTGCTGGCATTTCTCCTACTGACTTCAACAAGAGCCGGCTCCATTAACACCAGTATTAACAATGACTAATATTTTACATTGATACAGTGCCTTTCATCCTGTGGCATCCCAGAGTGCTTTCTAAGATAGCGCCAGCTTGGAAGATTAACCCAACATTGTAATGACTATGTCTGAAGGATAAATCCGCTTCAGTGACAGGACCTTATTGAGGTCAATGGCAAAATCCCATTGTCTTCAGTCAGAGCAAGATCAGACCTATAATGTCTGATCTGTTGAATGTGAGGTTCTTATCCTTGTTATTTTAGCGCTTCTTCAAAGTGAGATGAGCCTTCACTTCACTTCAGGGGTGGGTGGGAGTGTACATTGCTGGAGGTGCACAGCAGACTGGCCTGTGTCCAGAGAAATGAGTGAGTTGCCATTGTTTTCGGTAGAAGACCTCAGAAAAGGCCTCTATTTCACAATATCCTAAAGCAGAGTAGTCGATATTTTGCATATGAGAAAATGAAGAGCATAATTCCTGCCCATAATTAATTGGCTCCATCTGATATTAATGAATTTCATATACATGCGTTGGGCTGGTTTAATTTTAATTTAGCATGTGTTTGTCATTTTTATCACAATGAATTTTCATGGAGAAGGTCTTCCCTCCGGGTCTCTCATTTTTCTAACTCAGAAACAGAGATGGGTCAATGGCTTTGATGTTTTTGGGGACCACTTTAACTCTGTTGTGACTGGCCTTTGAGGTCACTGGAAAAATTTTCCAGCTTCCTGCTGTGACTGTGCTGGTCTTGCTCCTCCTGAGATTTATCCGAGTCCTTACCTGCTTAGCACTTGGTTCAGGTACCTGTTAGGAGGATGAGACCATGTACGCCAGGGTGATGTGTCCAGCTAACTGCTTGGATGGCATCTCTGAACCCAGCTGTGGGGCTGGCAGTGGCTTTGTCACCACCCTGAACAAAGCTGGTATCCCCATCCTTAAGTTTAAATCATGGCCTGGGCCAATTTATCCTTAGTGGTTGAGTGAAACATAAGAGACCTTGCTTTGAGGAAGTGGTCATTGTCCTGAAGGACACGGCAGCAAGCTACACAGGGTCAGGACCTCATGTTTGCTTGAAGAGCCAGCACAGCTCTAGTCCTAGCACCAGGCTAATGTCACTTTGCCACTGCCAGCTCCTTGGCTTGCACCTTTGCTGCTTCATCTGGAAATCAATCCTCTCTGCCCCCTGAGCCTTGGTGTCATGATGCAAATCCTCATTAGGAGCTGGGGAGCCTAGGACTCATGTGTGCCTCCCCAGATCCGAGATGGATTCATCAGGGATTGAGACTTCCAGGTCTCCTCTAGCATCTCTGCCTGGTGGGGCTCACCTGGGGCTGCCTCCTGGCTTTGAAGCTGGGCAACGCGTCCCTTCTGGCTGATGCAAACCAGGTCAGGCAAAGCTTTCCCATCCCAGCCATCCAGCTGCAGCAAAGAGCCTTCCTTGTGTGTGTATCCCTGTGCCCTCAGCAAGGACAGGAAGTCAGGGAGATGGGTGATGTTGTATTTAAAGCCTGTGACATTTGAGGTTTTTGCTTGTTGCCGCCCCAGGGCTGCTGTTGGAGTGCACATGGACAGATTCCTCCTTCCTACTTTTAGCAAGCAGGGCTGCTCACTCTGGTTCCCTTTATCCAGAGGTAGAGGAATCAGCCTTTAATTTGCCCATTTTTAGGATGAGATGAAGTTTCCCATCAATGTTGGCATGGAGAGGCTGGAGTCACTAATTCAGACTGGGATGACGAGATTTGGGATGTCTAAACCAGAGCAGATGAGCCTGGTCCTTCCTCTCCCATGCCTCCATCCCCATGTGTAACAGGGAGCTATTGTATCCCTGTCTCCCAGGGGAAAGAAATCCATGAATGATTCTCATGCTGCAGGGAAAGACACCAGGCAGTGGCTGACCAGCAAGAAATGTAACTTCACTGTGATCTGGAAGAAGGGAGTGCTTTGTCCCTTGAGCTGATTAAAGATCTTATGAACTGGCGTTGAGACAGTAGTTCTCGGTGGATAGCAGATACATTTCCCCCACTCCTTTTCTCCTTTTTGCAGAGTATCCATCAGCTGTGCTGTGTGCTCACATTTATTATGAAAAGTGGTGTTCATCCCTGAAGTATTTTGCTGAGCCCTCCTGCCTCCTGCTATAGGGAAATTCTGCAGAGAAGCCAGTACAAAGCCTGTGTAACTCCCCATGTAGCATTTCAAGTTGAGATTTTTAAGGGTGTTGATAGATGCATAAATCCCTTCCCAAGCATGGTTTTTTGGGGCTTTCACAGCATTAGTGCTAAATATTGTGATGCTGGCTTTCTATGCAGCAATAGGAGTCTCTTACAGGAGGTCCAGCAAACCTTTTGCTGCCATTTCCTAACCATGATAGATGTATGGTTGGTCATTGCATCTGCTTATATCCATGCAGAATAAAATACTGAAACTTCCTATAGATATGTCTGTGTGCAAACAGAAAATGTTCAGCTGGGCAGCACAGATGCCTGTTTCTGCTTCCCCCCCCCAAAAAAAAATCTGGAAGGCTTTAGAAATAAAATCAGGCCTGGCTAAAGTAAATGTGAAAGGATGGTCAGAGCAAAATCTTTCCAAAGACGAAAAGTCAAATACCTGTTGCTTTTGTGAAGATTTTGCGCAGTTCCCTAATGCTGCTGTGGAAGTTTGAGACCCCTCGTAGCACTGAAATCCCAGCAGCTGTTGCTGCTAATGGTTTTAAATCAGTTGTGAAGCCTCGGGGTGAGATGGTGTCTGTGGGGAATATTTCAAGGTGATAATGACTGGTTTCATTCCTAAACACGGTACAATTACCTAATGTGCAGATAGTTGAAATTTTTCAGCCACTGTGAGTTACTTGGGCATGTTTTGCACCCATAAGGCTCTTCCAGCAAATTTATCTTGTGTTGTCTCCTGAAATTTCAACCAAACTTGGGCTTTCCTGGTGGGATCTGAATTTTGGGATGGGGCAGAGAGGGTGCGTAGCTGTGGCACGGGGGGGTGTTCAAGGGGAGGAGCAGGGTTGGTGGCTGTTCAGCTGGTTCTGGGCATATTTCTGGGACTGTCTGGGTATGGGGTACATGAATCCCATGGTGATTTGGGGAGAAGGGATGGAAGCACAAAAAAAAATAATTGATTTTTGTTTAGATTAACAGACCCCTGACTATGAAGAAGGAAGGAATTCAGACCAGAAACCGAAAGATGTCTAGCAAATCCAAAAAGTGCAAAAAAGTCCATGACAACCTTGAAGACTTTCCCAAGAGCAGCTCCTTTAACCCTGCCGCCCTCTCCAGACACATGTCCTCCATCAGCCACATTTCACCTTTCAGTCACTCCAGCCACATGCTGACCACACCGACACCGATGCATCCTCCATCCAGCCTCTCCTTCGGACCTCACCATCCTTCCAGTATGGTCACTGCCATGGGTTAGCGAGAGACTCCCCTGCTGAATGCTTACGGTCTCAAAATGAGATTTACTTTATATACTTGCATTTTTGCAGGCGTGTGGTTATGGGTCTGTTATCCCGAATCAAATGGGAGGGGTCAAAAAAGAATTACAAAAAAAAAAAATAAAATTAAAATGTTATTTGAAGGCATAACGGAGAAAAAAATAAAAAAAAAATCAGAAAAAAAAAACTACAAAAAGCACAAAAAGTAAAAAAAAAAGAAAAAAAAAGAGAAAAAAGTAAAAAAAAAGAAGTTTTAAAAAAAGTGATGTTTGCCACTTTTTAAAGGAACTCACTATGGCGTCTATGTATTCTTACCCACTGAATCTGGATACCATTTGTGAATAAGCCATTCAGAACTTGCATTCCCTATTGGACAGGATCTCTAGTGCTGTGAAAAAAAATAATAAAATAAAATAAAAAATGCTGAACATTGCATATAACTTATATTGTAAGAAATACTGTACATTTGAGGAAGACTTTATTGCATCTGGAGAGCTGTAAAGAAAAAGGCATGAAGGACTCTGAGAGTTTTTTTTTTAAAGGAAAAGAAAAAAAAAAAGAGGACGGGAGGACAATTTAAAAACCAGAAAAAACAAACAATGCAGACCAAGAGGAAACACGGTCTTACGAACAAATGGACCAACTGCCAGTCATGTCTTCTCCTTTGATTTGATTTGATTTTTATTTGGGTTCTTTTTTTCTTTTTTTTGTTTTTGTTTTTGGGTTTTTGTTTCTATTTTTGTTTCCGGGGAGAGGGAGGGGGCTGGCTAGAACGGTTTTGATGATGCATTAACTGACTAACTAACTAACTAAATAACTGAATAAATAAAACCGTAGGGAGATCATTCATTTTGGGCCAAGGGCCTTTTACATAGGAAGGACCAATGGTGTCAGGCAATCAGTGTTAACCTGCGGACATTGCCAACAAGGGGTTTTCAGATAGCCATTCTCCAGGTCTATATGCATTGTGAACAAGTTCCTGTAATTGTTGTTTGTATGTATAATTCAACGCACCAAAATAAGAAAGATGTAGATTTATTTCATCCTATTATACAGACTGAATGGTTGTACAAATTTATTTACTGCTAGTGATAAGACCTGCTTTTTTTGTTTCGTTTTCATATTTTTTTTTCCTCCTTTTTTTTTTTTTTTGGAGAATAAACTAGATTAAATTCTGTTGACTTAAAAGTGTTTTGTGCTTGGGGGTGGGAAAGCGAATACGTTTATTATTTTTTTCTTTTTAATTTGTTTTGATGGTCTTTATTACATAGGTATCATGAGTATGGGAATGTGTGTCTCTGCACTCATGCTGACAGCCAAAGCAGTGGTTGCTGTGGCTTGATAAAAAATCCCCACAAAACAAAGGCAAAACCCCTCAGAAATAAATGAACTGCATGTTAGTGTCACCCCAGTGTCCGATGTGTAATCCCTGTCCCTCGAACCGCAGCCCAGCCATGGCCCCTGCCTGCTGTCGAGCTCCTGCATGAAATGGGTCCCTTTTGGTCTCAGTCAACCATGGCCACCACAGTGGCAAACCTATGTTGAAGACAATTTGAGACTGGGATAAGTGCAAAGGTACAGCAGGATCTTTATGATCCTGGTTACTTTTCGGGCAGTACTAGGAAAGACCCTGAGACTTTGGACAGGAGCTGGAAAAGCGTCTTCTCTTCTGCCCCATTGTGCACTCAGTGGTCTATTTGATGGTCTACAGTTGAGATCTTGATGTAAAATCAACACGGACCAGACCCTGTGCCTGTGCCTGAAGGAATGGGTAGAACTTGTTACAAAAGGCTGGGTTTGATGGTAGACAGAGGACAACGCCCCAAAATTCAAAGACCATCAGCCAGCCCCTTCCTGCAAGACTTTTCTTTGAAATAACGCCATTTGTATTAACATTATTATAGTTAATAGAAAAATCTGGCTCTTATAATTTGATTTCTGATTGTTTCATCCTTAGGAATTGGTCCTCCTTGTAGTCTTCAGTATTTACTCCTCCAGCTTCTTTATACCATCATAAGAGTTGGGCGTTTACTTCCCAAATGAAGGGTTAAACTTCTTATCACTCCATTCCATTTGCTGGAGATTTAAGCATGGTGTGATAAGGCAGTTGCTAAGGCTGTGAGAAAATGCTCAAAAAACCCCCCAAAATCCCACAAATGTAGAAATGTAAAAAGCTCAACATGTGTGACCTGCAATTTTTTTTTTTAATGCAGAAAGAAATAACTGAGTTCTTTCACCCAGAAATATGTGTACTCCTGACTTTCAGTGCCACGTGGATAGAAAAATATCACCATATCTGTCAGATGCAGTTTTAACCCACCTTCTCTTGGGTGATAACTGGAGCGGGTAAAGGTCGCATGGTCTAATCTTCTGCAGGATGGCTCATATGAGTAAGGATGTTTCATATAAGAAAGAGCACTTCAAAATTTTCAGGATGATTATGTAGAGGTCAAACAGTCATTGGATTTGGGAGTGGGGGAGGAGAGGAAGACAACTAACGTTTATTTGGGCTTTTTCTCCTCTGTTTCCAAATGAACCCAGTTAAACTATGCCTATCCTATAGGAGGATTCAGCAGACGTAAGCGGAACAAGCAGAAATCATTTTGTCATGTTGTATTTTCTTTCCTTTTTTACTCTGTTGACAAAAATGTGTAAAAAAAAAAAAAGTCAGAACAAATGGCACGCGTCTAAAATCTTATGTTAATCACCTTTCTGCTTTCTCAATGACTATTTTAAGTATAAAGACTAAATGTCAAAATAAAACAGAGTGAAGAATTACCGAGATGCAAAAGGAGATCTTGTTGGCTCCTAATTAATCATCTGCACACTATAAAGCTATTTTCAATTAGTCTGACAAATCAAAGGAAATAATCATCTTTGCTGATATTAAGCTGGAGAGATTATTATTTTTTAATTCGTGATGCTACAACCTTTCCCTCCTTTTGCTCATCAACAGATTGCAGTTGGACTAAGATATTGATTCCAGGATCTCAGCAAAGGTGAAAATTAGAGGAGGAATCGCATACTCGTGTATTGTGGTGTTTGAATCTTCCGATTTGATTTAGAGGGAACTGGGTCCTGAGTTTCTCACTCTATTTTTTTTTCTCTAAAAGCTGTGAACACTTTATTGCAGTTCCCTTCTGATGTCTTAGGGACATTGAGCGAGATGAAGCAGGACTGGGGCCAGCTCAAAGAATCTGCATCCTGGGAAGTACACAAATGCAGATGCTCTGTCTATATATACTCTAGAAAATATATACAGCTTGTCTAGAGAGTTCTTACATCAATTATATTCTGATGCCAGAAGCAGGATGAATACGATCTCTCACATCACATACCCCCTGGTTACTGCCTCAGATGTTAGATTAGCATGAATCTTCTACCTGTTTCTCAGTTATGATTTTTTTTCCTCTCTGAGCAAATATTCCAGAATTTTAATGCCTTGAAAGGTTTTGTTGTTTGTTTGTGGGTTTTATTTGTCTTTTTTGTATGTTTCTTTTATTCCCTTTAACACGTGGGAAAATGCTGGTTTACGAACCGCACTTGGTTAGCCAAGAGCTGTTGTTCTTGGGCAAACGTCTTGTGAAGGGTGACTCTGCCTTTCTTCATTTCTGAAATGGCAGGGAAGAGCTGATGATAGGCAGGTTAGAGCAAGAAAGCCCTCTGACTCATGGCTCTGCTTCAATAATCTATATGGTATGGAAAACACCATGGAAGTTATTAGTGGGGGTCAAACCTTGTGGTCTTTTTGTGGGCAAAATGCCTTCAGTGAATTTGTCTAAAAGCTGCTGTGCTGAAGTGACCGTGGTAACTGCATTTTACTGATTCTCCAAGCAAAAGTCTGTTGACATCAGTGGAAAGACTCCTAATGAGTCATGCAATAAGACTTGAATCAAGACTTTCTAAGTATTAACTTCAGCGCTATCCCCTTGATTTATCTGCCTTAGTTAACTTTTCAGCTGCATTGGTCCTGTGTCAGTAAACATGTGGATACACAGACATACACACAATACTGAAGTGACAATTTTAAGATTACCAAGCGCAATGCTTCAAGGTTGAAGAAGTGAGAAATGCTGTAATTAACACCATCTGCCAAACCTTTATTTTTTTCATATGCATTTGACTCTTCAATTGTCTTAGGATGCATCTAGACCTGCATTTATGTTCATATTAGCAGTGCATTTTTGAAGTGATTTCCCAATAGTCCTACCTTAGGACAATGAGATTTTACCTTGGCTCATGCAACATGTTTTCGTTAGACCCTCAACTAATGTGCTGCTGCACTAATGGGAACACAGGCTATAGAGCGAGACTACCCTGAAGCAATCCCCCAAAATACAGTCATTGGATCCTCAGTGCAGAGATATTTTTCCTTCCAAAGTAATTCCTACTGCTAATCCACACATTGCCGTAAACCACGTGTACTCATACAACTTTTTGATCACCGGGTTTTTCGGATTCACTCAAGACTGGTTGTAGTCTGGGGAAGAATTTGAGTGGTTGATGAAGGAACTAGAGGGTACATGTCTTGTTTTATTTGCAAAATTTGGGATAACAGACCAGAAAATGATATTATGGTAAAAACCTATAAACTAAGCATTTAAAAATGTCACATTTATCCCTGCCTCTTTCGTAGAGGTTCTCTATGGTGCTGGGAAACTCAATCCAGTCTTGTCACATGGGGATAGCGACTAATTGTGCAGTCCTCCCTTTTGGGGTTGTTTAATTTCACACCCCAAATTCTGCTTTGCAGAAATGTTCAGTGCTCTAAGTGATATCTGAAGCCAAAGGATCTTGTGCCTGAAATAATGCTGCATAATACCAAATTCTTTAAAAACAGAGGGTTTATCTCAACTTGAACTTCAAATACAGGGCTTCATTTCTTTCACCTCCTTCCATTCCCAAATCTGGAGAACAGATAATAACTTCTTCTCTCCTCAAAGATGTGTTGTGAAGATAAATCCATCTCTTGTGAAGTGCTTGGATGCAGGTTGATGAGCACCATGGAAAACCCATCTGCAGGAAGGGAGGTGTGAGGAGTAAATAAAATACAGGTCCACTGCTGAGGAAGGACAATGTCCTCCCTGTGCCCTGAATGAGGTAAAGGAAAGAAATTGGGTGTGATTGTCATATGTAGAAGGAGCAATAGGAGTGGAGGGAGGGTGAATAATTCAACCTGGTGTTACCTAACATTTCAGTGGTTGA